GCTGCCAGGAGGACCTGGCTGCGTGTGCCCAGCCAAGCGGGCAGAATTGTGCCTGTGCCACTCTGTCCGAGTACTCACGCCACTGCAGCCTGGCCAGCCAGCCCGTCAACCGCTGGCGAAGCCCCGGCCTCTGCTGTGAGTGCTGGAGAGGGCCGCGGGGAGGGCCAGGGCCAAGCCCCGCCTCGTCCACGAGACCGAGGAGACTCAGGTGGAGGAGGCACTGGGCGAGTGGCAGGGGCCTGGGGTGCCCGACCTCCTCACCTGGGCCACCGTGTGCCTGCAGCTCTGGGGCAGTGCCCGGCCAACCAGGTGTACCAGGAATGTGGCGAGGCCTGCGTCAAGACCTGCTCCAACCCGCAGCACAGCTGTTCCGGCTTCTGTGCCTTTGGCTGCTTCTGCCCAGAAGGTGAGGGCACTGCCCCCCGGAGACCCCTCCAGACAAGCCCAGAGGCAGAGTGCCAGCCCCCACCCCACCTGGCACATTGCCCCGCCTGGCACATTAGAACCGAGCCCCGCCAGCGGCCCCCACAGTGTGCAGGGAGGTGGTACCCACTGGGTGTCCGAGAGGCCGCTGGGAGGAGGCGGGCTCACGCTGGACCAGCAGCGGCCCCGGGTCTGGGCACGCCAGCACCAGGGGTGGGACGCGGCGGTGCAGACAGGGCTGGAGCCGGGGGCGGGGCGGGCTGAGGAGGAGGACAGGGCCTCCTGAGGGACAGGCGGGCAGGGGCTGCCTGGCAGGAGGGTGGGAGGGCATCTCCTGGCCACAGCCCCAGGAGGCCCTTCCTGCAGGTATGGTCCTTGATGACATCTCCAAAAACCTCACCTGCGTGCCTGTCGCACGGTGCCCCTGCACGCTTGGCGGGGTGACCTACGCCCCCGGGGAGATCACGGCAGACACCTGCCGCGCCTGGTGAGTGAGGGCACGAGGACAGGATGGCGATGCGGGGACAGGGACTCGGGGGCAGCTTCAGACCCTGGGGTGCCATCTGGGTCACCCTCCCCACCCACAGCCGGTGCACCATGGGACGCTGGGACTGTGAGGAGCGGCCTTGCCCCCGGCACTGCGCTCTGGAAGGTGGCTCCTTTGTCACCACATTCGACGCCAGGCCCTACCGCTTCCACGGAGCGTGCACCTACACCCTCCTCCAGGTGGGCCACGCCGCCATGCTGCCGCCAGGAGTCACCGCAGGGTCATCAGGAAGGGAGGGCTCACCCTGGGGTCACCACAAGGGGTCCCGTCAGCAGGGGCTGCCGTAAGCCCTTAGCCCTGTGTGCTGACTGCTCCCCCTTTCAGAGCCCCCAGCTCCCCGATGGGGGCTCCCTCCTGGCTGCATACGACAAGTCTGGGTACTCGCACTCAGAGACCTCGCTGGTGGCAGTCATCTACGTGTCAAGCCAGGTAAGCCCGCTCTGCCTGTGGCCACTGCCCCCACCCAGAGCGCCTGGCCCGCAGGAGGGGACGCCATCCCCTGCTCTTGGCCCCATGACTCAGGCCACCCTCCTTCCAGGACAAAATCGTGATTTCTCAGGACGAGGTGACCAACAACGGAGACACCAAGCGGCTGCCCTACAAGGCCGGTATGTCCGCGGCCCCTGCCTGGCACCTCCGTGGGCCACGGTCCCAAAGCAGGCTGCCCGCTGAGCCCCTGTCCCCTAGGCAACATCACGGTCTTCAGGCAGACGTCCACCCACCTCCAAATGGCCACCACCTTTGGGCTGGAGCTGGTGATCCGGCTACGGCCCGTGTTCCAGGCGTACATCACCGTCGGGCCCCATTTCAGGGGCCAGACCAAAGGTGAGCCCCTCCCGCACCTGCCCAAGGTCAGCCGGCTGCCCTGTCCCCATATGGCTCGGCCACACCAGAGGCGAAGGGGCCCCACACAGCCTCACACTGACCTAGCGGGTCCAGCGCCCATGGCCTCAGGCCAGCCACTCTCGGTGGCCAGGCCTCCCAGTGGCGTGGCCAGTGACGGCCTCTTGCCCTGGGCACAGTGATGGGCATGCAGGGCGGGACGAGGACGCAGGCCGGCCCACCCTCATGGCCCGGCCTGCTCAGGGCTCTGTGGCAACTTCAACGGGGACACGACGGACGACTTCACGACCAGCATGGGCATCGCCGAGGGCACCGCCTCGCTCTTTGTGGACTCCTGGCGGGCAGGGAACTGCCCGGCCGCCCTGGAGCGCGAGACCGACCCCTGCTCCATGAGCCAGCTCAACAGTGAGTGCCGGGCTGCGGAGGGCCGCAGGGGCAGCGGAGACCCCAGCCACGTGCGCGGGAAACCCACCGGGGTCTGTCCCCGCAGAGGTGAGCGCGGAGACCCACTGCTCAGTGCTGGTGAAGACGGGCACCGTGTTCGAGAAGTGCCACGCCCTGGTGAACCCCAAGCCCTTCTACAAGGTGGGCAGGGCCTGCGGGCGGGTGGGGAGGGCTGCGGGCATGGGGCGCCCGCGGGACCCCGGGATGCGGGAGGGCGGGCGCCCATGCGCTGTCTGCCTGCAGAGGTGCGTGTACCAGGCCTGCAACTACGAAGAGACCTTCCCGCACATCTGTGCCGCCCTGGGGGACTACGCACACACCTGTGCCTCACGGGGCGTCCTGCTCCGGGGCTGGAGAGACAGCGTGGACAACTGCAGTGCGTGCAGGCCGGGCAGCCCGGGGGCAGGAGGGGGTCTGGAGGGCACGACGGGGGTCCCGGGCCCGAAGCTGTGCCCGGCCATCTCCCCAAGGGCCTAACTTCCGCGTCCCCCACAGCCATCCCCTGCACGGGCAACCAGACATTCAGCTATGACAGCCACGCCTGCAGCCGCACGTGCCTCTCACTATCTGACCGCACCGCCGAGTGCCACCGCAGCGCCGTCCCCGTGGATGGCTGCAACTGTCCCGAGGGCACCTACCTAAACCACGAAGCCAAGTGTGTGCGCAAAGCCCAGTGCCCCTGCCTCCTGGCCAACCACAAGTTCATCCCGCCCAACCAGTCTACTATGGTCGACGGTGTCGTCTGGTGCGTGAGGGGATCTGGGCGGGTGGCCCCCACCCCGGCCTGCGGCCCCGGCCCAAGCCGACCCATTCATTCCACGTCCCTTGCAGCCACTGCACCAATGGGCGGCTGAACTGCCCGGGGCGGCCACAGATGCTCCTGGGTACGTAGCTGGCCAAGCGGTGGGCCTGACCCTCCCTGCACCATGGCCCTGAGCCCGTCTCACCCTGGGCTCCTCCTCCCTGCAGCAGCCTGCTCGGCCCCCAAGACACTCCGGTCCTGCAGCCAGTCCTCAGGGGACGAGTTTGGGGCAGCCTGTGCCCCCACGTGCCAGATGCTAGCCACCGGCACACCATGCGTAAGGCTGGGGCAAGCCAGGGACAGGGAGGCCCCCAGAAGACAGTCTCCAGCAGACAGCCTCTGGTGACATGCTCGCAGTGGACGGCCCCAGAGCCTTCCACTGGACCATGAGAGGGTGCCCACAAAGTCCCTGGGGAAGGCAGGGCCAAACTCTGACCCCAGTCCCTGTCTCCCCATGAAAAGCACAGACAGCGGGGCTGGGAAGCCAGGCAGCTGGAGGGCAGCGTGCCACCTGTGGGGTTTCCTGAGGACTGCGGGCTGCCCCCCGCCCCCAGCTTGGGGAGAGAAAAGAGGGGGCCCAATGGCCTGGTCGTGACGCACAGAGGCCCGAAACCTCCCCGAAGGGAGGAGAGGGCTTTGCTGAAAGACTCGGGGAAGGGGTGGGTGCAGGGAGTGGGCTGGGGAGGGGTGCTGGGGGCCCACCTCCCCGGGGGCTACCAACCCCCTCCCTGCAGGTGCCCACCAAGTGTGAGCCCGGCTGCGTCTGTGCCGAGGGGCTCTACGAGAACGCCAGCGGGCAGTGTGTGCCCCCCGAAGACTGCCCGTGCGAATTTGCAGGGGTGTCCTACCCCCGGGGCGCCCAGCTCAACACTGACTGTATGACCTGGTGAGCCACGGCCCCGCCCTGGAGACCCCAGTGGCCCGGAGCTGTCCCAGGGTTTTCGGGGATGGCAGGGGATCCCCCACCAAGCCCACACGTGTGTCCTGTGAGGGCGTGCGCAGCCCAGGTCTCCCAGAACAGCCTGTTCCTCCCCCAGCACCTGCTCGAGGGGGAAGTGGACGTGCCAGCAGAGAGCCCGCTGCTCGTCCACCTGCACCCTCTACGGGGAGGGCCACGTGGTCACCTTCGATGGGCAGCGGTTCGTGTTTGACGGCAACTGCGAGTATATCCTGGCCACGGTGAGGCTCAGTGGGGGCACAGGCCACATTGAGGCCTGGGGGGCAGGGACGAGCCATGGCGAGGCCCAGGGGGGCGGGGAGCCTGGCGGGCTCCACCTCAGCACCCCCTCCCCACAGGATGGCTGTGGCGCCAACGACTCGCAGCCCACATTCAAGATAGTGACAGAGAACGTCATGTGTGGGAAGTCGGGTGTCACCTGCTCCCGGGCCATCAGGATCTCTCTGGGGGTGAGTGGGCTGGAGGGTGTCCCCACTTCTCCACCACCAAGCCCCAGACCCTGGTTCCTTGTCCGCATGACAGGCAGCAGTATCTCCCAGAGCCGGACGGCCTGGGGGGAGGGTTCTCCCAGACACTTGACTCGGCCCTCAGCGCAGTGCCCAGTGTCCTGAAGCTTCCTGCCAACGGCAGGCTCCGAAGGGCCGGTGCCCAGCCCAGAGCTGGCCTTTGGCAAGTGCTGGCCACACGTGTCCTTAATGGACTCGGAGAGTGCAGGCGAGGAAGCAGAGCTGGTGGCATTTGGGCCTGAGGGCAGGCAGCCCGGTGACAGCCCTGCCCCGCAGGGCCTGTCCATCACGCTGGCGGACAGGAACTACACGGTCAGCGGGGCGGACCCCCACGCGCACTACCGGGTGCAGGCCGGCTCCCTGCACCTGGTGCTGGACGTCACCATCGGCAGCAGCTACAACCTGACCCTCATCTGGAACAAGCACATGTCTGTCTCCATCAAGATCACTCGTGCCGCCCAGGTAGCTCGCGCCCCGCCCAGGCCACCGGGCGGGGGGTGGCAGGTGCGCGCCTGACCCCGGCCCCCGCAGGGCACCCTGTGCGGCCTGTGCGGCAACGACAACGGAAACATGAAGGACGACTTCGAGACGCGCAGCACGTACGTGGCGTCCAGCGAGCTGGAGTTCGTGAACTCGTGGAAGGAGAGCCCGCTGTGCGGGGACGCCAGCCTCCTGCTGAGCCCCTGCACCCTCAACGTCTTCCGCCACGCCTGGGCCATGCGCAAGTGCAACATCATCAACAGCCAGACCTTCGCCGCCTGCCACAGCCAGGTGGGCCGCCCGCCCCTGGGGCCCCGGCCCCCCACGGCCAGGTCAGCCCCGGCCCTCGGGCCTGACTGCACGGCCGCCGGCGGGCACTGAGGGCGGCTCCCGCAGGTGTACCACCTGCCCTACTACGAGGCCTGCGTGCGTGACGCGTGTGGCTGCGACACCGGCGGAGACTGTGAGTGCCTGTGCGACGCCGTGGCCGCCTACGCCCAGGCCTGCCTGGGCAAGGGCGTGTGCGTGGACTGGAGGACCCCCGAGTTCTGCCGTGAGTACCCTGCTCCTGCCCACCCGCGGCTGCGGGGCCGAGCGGCTGCCCTGGCCCCCGCGCTTCCGGGGTGGGTGGCGGGCTGTGCCCCACAGGGAGACCGCGCAGAGGGACCCTGACCTTCCAGGCCCACACTCGGGCTCCCTGGCCGGCTCCGCCGAGGGGCTTCCACGGCAGGCTCAGGGCCGTCTGACGGGCGCTCGTCCTGCCTGCCAGCCATCTACTGCGGCTACTACAACACCCACACGCGGGCAAACGACGGCCAGTTCCAGTACACGCAGGAGGCCAACTGCACGTGGCACTACCAGCCATGCCTCTGTCCCCAGCGGCTGCACAGCTTCCCCAACACCAACACTGAAGGTACGGCCATGGAGAGGGGGCGGTCCACCCAGAGGACTGATGGCTCCCCGGGCCCAGTGGGTGGAGAGGGGCTTGGGGTCAAGGACACGAGGTGGAGCATGGGCCAGCCTGGAACCAGAGATTGCAACGGGGGAGGTGAGGACTGGCGGGCACAATGCAGGGCAGCTGGGGGTGGGGACCAGGAGGGGACACCATTGTCTGGAGTTCCGGGGATGGGCCGGCAGTGGCTGTGGACAGGGAAGGGACCATGGCCTGGGGAAGAGGGGCGTCCAGGTCCAGGCACTGAAGTCCGCCGTCCTCCACGCACCCACCTGCCCAGGCTGCTACAACTGCTCCCAGGATGAGTACTTCGACCACAACGAGGGGACATGCGTGCCGTGTGGTAAGCTCAGTCTCTGGCCTCCACGCCCAACTCCCCAGGGCTGGGCCCCTGGGGTGCTGAGATCACCCCCCCAAGTCTTCAGACAACAGAGACACAGGGAGAAATGAGGCTTCCCCCCTCCCCAAACGGTGACTCACAAGCCCCAGTCCCCTGTGACAGGGCCGACCCAGCCCCGCCAGCCTGCTGGGTGTGTGGGTGCATGGCGGAAACCTCCTGGGGACAGACACACTGGCAGGCAGCCTAGAGAGCTGCCATCGGCGGGCGCTGGACAGCATCCTGGGCTGGGCAGGGGCAGGCAGCGGGGAGGCCTGACACCCTCCCTTTTGCAGAGCCAACGCCGCCGCCGACCACCACAGGTGATTGCACGCTCACTGGGTACCAAGGTGAAGCGGTGCTCTCCCGGGGTGGCCCCGCCCCACGGGGGCAGCAGTGTGTGCTGACCGGACAGGCAGAGGCGCTGCGTGTGAAGCTGAGCTCCAGGCTGACCAACAGCCGGCCCCGTCGCACCCTCCAGATGGCCACAGTCACAGGGCGCCGATGGGAGCCCATGTCACCCTCGGAGGGCACAGGCCGGCTCCTGTACCTCCTGCCCTGGGTTGGGGGGTGCTGCACGGCTTAGGGGCCCAGCACGTGAGAGGAGGGCTCCTTCTGAGGCTGCGCTCTGCGGTCATGGCCCGTCCGCCGCACTTGGCCTTGCCCTCCAGAGGCCAGGCCCAGCACAGCCACCCCCAGGACCACGGGGCCCCTCAGCCCCACCGCACCCTCCCCGGGCTCGGTGCCCACACCTGCAGCCCCCACAGGGAGCTTTCCACCAAGGCCACACCCACGGCCTCGCCCCCTCCTCAAGGGCAGGGACAGCCTGCTTGGGAGGTGAGGCCCACACCGGCTGCAAGTGGCAGGGGCACAGAAGAGCACGGAGGCTCTGGGCGTGGGGGCAGCAGCACCCTCGCTCTCAGGCACAGAAGCCCCTGTGCTTGGGAGCAAAGCTGGGCTTCTCTGAAAGGTCTTTTTAAAGGATAAACTAGTCATAGGATGCAGCCATTCCTTGCTGTCTGATAACTGTCACTAGAAAATACGTAAGACCTGCCAGGTGAAGGTCCCAGCAGCGCGAAAGGTCTTTTTAAAGGATAAACTAGTCATAGGATGTGGCCATTCCTTGCTGTCTGATACTATCACTAGAAAATACGTAAGACCTGCCAGGTGAAGGCCCCAGCAGCACAAGCCAGCCTTCCATACAGCCCATACCCAGCCCACACAGCAGCACGCTGTCCCCGCTGCCCAGGGACCATGAGGGACCAAGTGATGGGTCCTGCTTGCATGGGCAGGTGAAAGGGCACCAGTGTCCCAATGAATGCGTGTCCCCATGGGCGGGCTGGGCCTGTCGTGTGGGCGATGATGGAGACAGAAGCAGGGGGTGTGCAGACAGGGGTGAAGGGAGCCTGCGATCTGCTAGGGGTGGCCGTGGCGGTGTGGAAATGCCACCAAGGCCCCCACGCCGAGTCAAGGCTGGCTGACAGAAGACAAGAGTGTCAGCTGGAGAGAGACACACAGCCCTCTTAAGCGGTTCCCGCACGCCTAACTGGCCAGGTGCCCAGGCAGGGTGGGGGTGGGACCTCAAGCTGCGGCAAATGTGGACGGGCCCTGTTCCCTACAGGATCACCGCCAAAAACCACTGCGGTCACCAAAACCACGCTCAGCTCAACAGCCACAGCACAGCCCACGGCCTCTTCCATCAGCACGGCAAAACAACCAACAGGGTGGGCCACGGCGCACTCCACAGAGGCACAGTCACCTCCCGCAACGTCAGAAACCCCCACGGGCCCTGCCAAAAGTAAGCATCCCGCCCACACATTCCCGCAGAGGGGCCGTGGCCTGCAAGCACGCCCTTGGCCAGGTGAACAAAGGACAGCCTGCCAAGCCCCCACCGAGGTTCGTCCCTGACCACGCTTTCTCGGCACTTCCCGAAGGTGACTGTGGCTGAGCACCCATCCACCACAGCCACCCCACCACAGGGGAGCCAGAAGCCAGGAGACAAGAGGCCCAGGATACACTAGCTATAAAGTACAGTGTCCGGCTCTGCAAGCTGGCCACGCGATCTAAACCCCTGATGGAACTGATAGCGAGGACGCAAGCGGGTGGCCCAGACCTGACACAGCCACACTGACACCGGGGCAGGAGCAAAGAGGGCTAGAAAGACCGCCCCAATCCACAGAAGCTGCATGAAGAAAGCCTCCCCACTGGGTGGTGGGAGTGGGGGACAGGAGACAGTGAAGTACTCAGGCACAGTGGGGACAAGGCATGTGTGCAGTCAGGGCCATGCACTAAAGGAAGATGCTATGTAGGAATAAAACGTCCAGACTCACCAAGCAAAAGTGAGACAGGGAAGGAGTAAACAGACCCAATTAATTCCCACAGCGTCCGCCACCAACGACTGGACCACGGAGACACCCAACGGATGGGAGACAGGACACACGGAGTTCTCAGGATTCTCCCTCACTACCTCCAACCAGAATAATCGG